AGAGGCAGGCGGATCTCTGTGAGTTCGAGGCCAGCCTGGGCTACCAAGTGAGTCCCAGGACAGGCACCAAAGCTACACAGAGAAACCCTGTCTCGAAAAACCAAAAAAAAAAAAAAAAGTCTATCAAGCTAAAAGTATATCAAGCTGGGCATGGTAGTGCATGCCTTTAATCCCAGGACGTTGGAGGTAGAGGCAGGCAGATCTCTGTGAGTTTGAGGCCAGCCTTGTTTATATAGAGTTCTAGGTTAGCCAGGACTACACAGTGAGACCTTGTTTTGTTTTGTTTTGTTTTAAGCCTATAATAAGCTAATTCGGGGCGGGGGCTGAAGTGGTTAAGAGCACTGGCTGTTCTAAATCAGTGGTTCTCAACTTTCTTAATGCTGTGGCCCTTTAGTACAGTTCTTCATGTTGTGGTGACCCCAAGCTGTAAAATTATTTTCTCTGGCCGGGCGGTGGTGGCGCACGCCTTTAATCCCAGCACGCGGGAGGCAGAGCCAGGCGGATCTCTGTGAGTTCGAGGCCAGCCTGGACTACCAAGTGAGTTCCAGGAAAGGCGCAAAGCTACACAGAGAAACCCTGTCTCGAAAAACCAAAAAAAAAAAAAAAAAAATTTCTCTGGTGATATATTGGGTACCCCAATAAAGCTTATCTGGGGATCAGAGGACAGAGCCAGTCACTAAATTAGGCATAGAAGTCAGGCAGTGGTGGCACACACCTTTAATCCTATCACTTGAGAGACAGAGATCTGTCTGGATCTCTGTGAGTTCAAGGCCACATTGGGCTACATGAGAAACAGAACCAGGCAGTGGTGACACACACCTTTAATCCCAGGAAGTAACATGGCAGGACACAGAAAGGTATACAAGGAGTGAGGAAACAGGAACTCGCTCTCTTGAGGCTGAGGATTTCATAGAGGTAAGCTAGTGGCTGGCTGTCCTGCTTCTCTGTGATCTTTCAGCTTCCACCCCAATATCTGGCTCTAGTTTTTTTTTTATTATAAGACCTTTTAAGATCTGTGTTACAGGCCGTGCGGTGGTGGTGCACGCCTTTAATCCCAGCACTCGGGAGGCAGAGCCAGGCGGATCTCTGTGAGTTCGAGGCCAGCCTGGTCTCCAAAGTGAGTTCCAGGAAAGGCGCAAAGCTACACAGAGAAACCCTGTCTCGAAAAACCAAAAAAAAAAAAAAAAACCAAAAAGATCTGTGTTACAATTTTCCTTTCTACTTCGTAGCTATAATTTTGCTACTGTTATGAATCGTAATGTATATATTTTTGGAGGTAGAGGGTTGGTAAAGAGGTTGCGACCCACAGGTTGAGAACCACTGTTCTAGGGACCCCTAGGTTCAATCCTCAAAACCCACATAGTAGCTTACAGCTGTCTATAACTCCAGGTCCAGAAGATCTGAGACTGTCTTTTGGCCCCTGGGACATCAGGCATAAAGGCAAAATACACCCACCTATAAAATAAAATAATTTAAATTTATTTTTTTATAAAAATAAGATAGTTCTGGGGACTGGAGAGATGATTCAGTGGTTAAGAGCATTGGCTGCTCTTCCAAATGACCAGAGTTCAGTTCCCAGCACCCACATGGCAGCTCACAACTGTCTGTAGCTCTGGTTCCAGGGGATCTGGCACCCTCGCATAGACATACATGCTGGCAAAACCCCAATAGATATTTTTTAAAAATCGGTGGTGGCGCACGCCTTTAATCCCAGCACTCGGGAGGCAGAGCCAGGCGGATCTCTGTGAGTTCGAGGCCAGCCTGGGCTATCAAGTGAGTTCTAGGAAAAGGCACAAAGCTACACAGAGAAACCCTGTCTCGAAAAACCAAAAAAAAAAAATTCCTTTAAAAAATAAGATAATTCTGAAACTAAAAGAAGTAATTAAACATATTGGAAGAAAGTTGATAACAGAAAAATTAAGAGATAGTACAAGTCTTTAATGCCAGCACTCCGAAAGCAGAGGCAGGCAGGTCTCTGAGTTTGAGGCCAGCCAGGGCTACACAGAGAAACCCTGTCCTGAAAAAACAAAACAATTTTAAAAGTTAAGAGCAGGAGAATATGCTTTAGAACACAGATAACCATCAGATAGGAGAAAAATCACTAACTGATAAAGCAGAATTATATACAAATGCTTTTTATTTTTTTATTTATTTTTTATTTTATTTATTTTTTTATTTTTTTGGTTTTTCGAGACAGGGTTTCTCTGTGTAGTTTTGCGCCTTTCCTGGAACTCGATTTGTAGACCAGGCTGGCCTCGAACTCACAGAGATCCGCCTGCCTCTGCCTCCCGAGTGCTGGGATTAAAGGCGTGCGCCACCACCGCCCGGCTTACAAATGCTTTTTAAATTATAATGGAGTGTCAACCCATACACTCACCATAAATTGAAAATACTTGGTTTAAACACATAATGCACCTAATCTACCAGACATCATTGCTTTTAGCTTAGCCTACTTTGAACATATTCAGAATAACTATATTAACCTGTAGTTAAACTTACCTATCACAAAGCCTATTTTATAATAAAGCGTTGAATGTCTCATGTAATTTATTCTTGTATCCAAAATAAACTCCATCAACATTTCAGCTGTTTTCCCTTGTGATTTCACAGTTCACGAGGAACTGTGACAGCTGCCCAGCATTCCAAGGGGGGTCTCACCCTGCACATGGCTAGCCTCAGAAGACCGAAATTCAGATCCAAAGTACGCTTTTTACTAAATACCAGTTGCTTTTACACCGTACTACACGGAAACTTCTGAAGCTGAACCGTCCTAAGTTTCTGCCCATCTGTTTGCAGAAGTAGCTGAATTTGAGGAAGTGGAACAGAGCGTGTCTGAGTGGTCACTGTGAAAACGAGAGGAGGCTGGGAGTCGGGAAACAGAGGAAGGAGGAAGGGCGCTCCAGGAAACTGGTGGGCAAGAATTCCAACAGCTCCACTCATCCCTGGAGCGGGACTCAGCAAGCCAAGTGTGGGATCAGAGCAAGAAGCAGAGAAGGTCTAGGTAAGGGAGGAGGGAACTTCAGAGTCAAGGAGTTAAGCATGCTCACAAAAGATGGGCAGGAGGGCTGCAGATACAGCACAGTGCTTCAGAGCACTCCTTGTTCTTGAGGGCGATCTGGGTTCTAGTCCCAGAAGGGGCTCACAACCATTCCTAACTCCCCTGCCAGGGGATCCGGCTCCTTTTTCTGGCCTCTGAAGACACAAGGCATATACACACAGTGCATGTATACCTACACAGGCAAAATAACTCATACATGTAAATAAAATCTTTGAAGAGAGAGGGGTGGGAGAGGGAGGCCAGGCATGGTGGTACATGACTTGGATGACTTGGGAGAGAGAGGTAGGCAGATCCCTGTGTGTTCTAGGACAGCCTGGTCTACATATTGAGTTCTAGGATAGCCACGACTACATGAACAGGCCTTGTATTGAGAGAGGGAGAGGGAGAGGGAGAGGGAGAGGGAGAGGGAGAGGGAGAGAGAGAGAGAGAGAACAAGGAAGGAAACAACCACTGTGAAAGGACATTTTGTTAAAGACGAGGAATGGGGACCCCCTCACCCTGTCATGGAAAGGCAAGAGATAGAGTTATAAAAGCAGAATAGCTAAACCTTTTAGGATGAGCTTGAGGCACTGGGGGCCACAGTGTGGATGAATTTTCTCTATGGTTTCTGCACAAAAACACATGCATTTCTCAAAATAGGCACAGTGGCACTATTTTCTACCTTCAACCATCTAAACCACACATCTTTACTCTCATACTTCTGCTGGAATTTTATAAAAACAAAAACCTGTAACCTTTGAGCTGAGTCTTACTCCTGTGAGCTGAGTCTCTTAAACCTAGTCCAATTCTGCTCTGGAAAACTCCAGAACAATCCAGAATTTGGAAAACAGACAGGTAAGTTTCTCATCCATTTAACGAAACTAAGTTGATCTATAGGTGTCAGCTACTTTCCAGTAATGTCTGAGTGAAACAAAGCCACACACTATAATTAAAATTCCTTGGCTTTCCTGTTTCCATCCTGTGTTAGGCATATATATATATATGGCCGTGTTATAAACATATTTATGGGGTCATCGAGAAGGCTCAGTGGGTAAGAGCACTTGCTGCCAAGACTGCGTTTGACCCTGGAACAGCGATGGCAGACCGAGAGAACTGACTGCTGGAAGCTGTCCTCTGACTTCCACAGGTGGCACACAAGCATATACTCACATATTCTCTCTCTTTCTCTCAATGTGGAAATGCCTGAATAAAGAAATCAGTGCAAGGAATATATTCGTGTGTATTGTCATAAACGGCTCTGTGCACACTGTGGACTGTGTCTTTCTTAGCCTCTCTACCGCGGTTTTTGCTGGGAACACTCTTTATAACAGTAATTACGAGTCTCCGATGCTCTACCTTCAAAAGTGCTTACCGCTGCATTAGTTTTTCACGTGTAATCTCCCATCTCAGCTTGGTTAGGGATGCATTATCACCCCTCGACTGTAGAAGAGGAAAGAGTAGTCAATCACTAGTGACCTACTCAAGGTCGTACCATTTGTTGGGAGGTGAGTTTTTAAACTTCAGATGTGTTTTGACACTTCCTGACATATACTTTCTTTTGTTTTTGTTTTTTAGACATGCTTGCCCTCTCTCTCTCTCTCTCTCTCTCTCTCTCTGTGTGTGTGTGTGTGTGTGTGTGTGTGTGTAGGCCTGGCTGTCCTGGAACTCCATATACAGCCCAGGCAAGCCTTGAACCTACAGAGCTATGTCTGCCTCAATCTCCCTAGTGCTGGGATACATACTTTCTCTTTATTATAAGAAGTGAGACTTTTGGTAATTTCTAGTGAAAATACTCTTTTTATTTTTGTCTTAGGTATTGAACCCCGGGCCTCATGCATTGTTGTGTGAGAGATTCTTCCTAAGGAGACTCAAAACACACACACACACACACACACACACACACACAGCCCTAGCTAACCCAGAAAGGAAGCCAGACAGATCAAAATATGTATACACTGAAGTCTAACTTAGTAAACCAATGAGTTTTATTGGGTTCCTTACAGGAATGTGGGGGAGGGGTCACTTACAGGAGCAGAAATGACTCAAAGACAGCTGAGTCACCAAGGCCCGGCATGGGTTGCAGCTCACAACATCAGGAAACCGGAAGCACACAGCAGTCTGCAGGCAGCTTAACAAGTTGGAGAGTCCTTTCCAGGTGGCTCAGTTGGTCTGAGCATCTTCTAGTTAGTTAAGCTGGTCATTGCTTCTAGGCAGTTAGACCCCTGCTTCTCTTTACTATTCCTGGGGAGTCAAGTGGGGGGAGCTAGTGAATCTAGTCAGTTTCAGGGACTTCCTGAGGTATTTTGAATTGTTTACTTCCTCTCTGAATCAACTTCTCTGGTGTACTTCACCTTCCCTTAGAACATACTGTTATTTTCACCTACATGTAAAACATCCTATCTTAATAAGTTTCCCTCCAGCATGGATCGTTCTAAACTGAGAGGAAACTGTTGTGTAACATGCATGCTTAGCACACACTGTAAGGCTGGGTTGTACCCACAACCCCTAAACATGTTTCTATAGTGTGTTGCTAGAGTTTTCCTGCCTGGCCCACAGTCAGGACAAATCTCTCTCACCTGCCAGTCCCACAGCCGCTCAAACCTGACCAAGTAAACACAGAGACTTATATTGGTTACAAACTGTATGGCCGTGGCAGGCTTCTAGCTAACTGTTCTTACAACTTAAATTAATCCATTTCCATTAATCTATACCTTGCCACGTGGCTCGTGGCTTACCGGCATCTTCACATGCTGTTTGTCATTGTGGGCTGGCAGTGTCTCTCTGGCTCAGCCTTCCACTTTCCAGCTTTATCCTCCTCCTTGTCCCGCCTACACTTCCTGCCTAGCCAATGGCCAATCAGTGTTTTATTTATTGACTAATTAGCAACACATTTGCCATACAGAACATCCCACAGCAATAGTGTTTACTAGAAAAGGGATCTCTGTAACGCCCCCCTCTTTTTTTTTTCTTGTAAATAATCAACAAAGGGAAAATGGCCACAATACATAAATGAACTTTGCTGGGCAGTTTTATGTCAACCTAACGGGAGCTAAAGTCATCTGAGAGGAGGGAACTTTTAGCTCCTGTCCTGACTTCCTTTAGGGATGGACTACGGTGTGGAAGTGTAAGCCAAATAAACCCTTTGTGTCCCAACCTGCTTTGGTCACGGTGTGCCATCACAGCAACAGAAACCCTAGCTAAGACATGAGCAATACTTTCTGACTTTCCAAAAGGACATTAACTTTAATATTTTACCGCTGCAATCTAGGGCTTATTAAGCACATTTCCTTTTGCCAAACATATCGATAGTTTGGTTTTTTGAAAATGATTTTTTACCTTTCCTCATGTATCTGTCGAGGAGGCAGGGGTGTGCACGACCCAGCACACATGTAGAGGTCAGAGGACACCTTGCAGGAGTCAGCTCTCTCATTCTGCAGTGTGGGTCCCGAATGAACATCGACTCAGGTCACTGGGCTTCCCGGCAGGGGCCTTTTCCGGCCGAGCCACCTTATCAGCTGTGTAACAGTTTGTATGAGATTATTGTTCTGGAGGCCAGGACAGTGGCACATGCCTACTTTCCCAGCACTCAGGAGGCTGAGCCAAAAGCAGTAAATTCTAGTTCAGCCCAAGCTACATGATGAGGTCCATATCTGTCTGGGCTGCAGAGTAAAACCCTGTCTCAAAAAAAAAAAAAGAAAATCAGACTAAACTAAACTAAACAAATAATAAATAAAGGAATGCCTCCTGGCAAGAGAGCTCAGTGGGCAGGAACACTTGCTGCACAGAACTGATGACCTGTGTTCAAGTCCCAGATCCCACACTGAAAGGAGAGTATCAACTCCCAAAAGTTGTCTCTGGGCCTCCACACAGGTGTTACGGCACACATGCACCCACACTCACACACATGCACCCACACTCACACACACATGCACACAATAATAATAATTAACAAAAATAAATAAAACTGTGGCAGAGCACAAGAACTCGTGCCTTTGATACCAGCATTTGGGAAGCAGATACAGGAGGGTCTCTGTGAGTCCGAAGCCAGCCTGGCCAACACGGCCAGTTCCAGGTCAGCAGGACCCTGTCTCAAACAAATGAATAAAAAACTAATAAAGGAATCAGAGTGAAAGTCCTAAGTGGTATATAAATTCAATACTGAGACGACTTAGCTCTTTCAATCCAGAGTATAATTGGACAGGACAACTGATTTGGGTGCCTCTAATCCTTTGAGGAAGGCTTCTTGATGTAATACTGGGGGTGGTTTCTGGCTGGGTAGGGTGATAGGCATCTATAATCATAGCACTAGGGAGTCTGTGCCAGAAGGATGATAACTTGAAGGCCAGGCTGGGCTACATACAGAATTTAAAGCCAAGTTAGATTACATAGCAAATCCCTGTCTCAAAAAAAAATTTTTGTCGAGTGTTGATATTCTATAGTAGACCTTAGTACACACCAGGAACAGCGAATCGGCCGGCTGCGTCTTTGAACATTTAAAGGTAAAGCTCAGGGGGTTAGGGTGTCCACACACAATCTGACCCTGGGCGGGAACTAATTGGCTCAGTGGGTCTGGGGATGAGGCGAATGGAAAGCAGGAATTCTGTCTATCACCTTCCCCCAGCCAACCAGTCTCTGGATTGAGAGTTGAAGAGGATTGTTTGAAATATGACGGCCAAGTTCCTTTCCACCTCCATCTCCACCAACCAAGGCGCAGCATCCTGCAGAAAGGGAGCCGAGGCCTGAAGCTTCTGGAAGACTAGTCAGAAGAACAGTCCTGTCTGGTGCAGATAAAACACCCTTTGTCTACATACAAACACACTGTCCCTTACCTAAACTCCCACTTGTATCTCTGGTCCCATGATGTAGTCGCTGATCCTACCCCTTTGGAACAGAAACACGGAAGTGTCAACTCTCTCTCTCTCTCTCTCTCTCTCTCTCTCTCTCTCTCTCTCTCTCTCTCTCTCTTTCTCTCTCTCTCTCCCTCAGGACACGCTCTCACTATGTAGCCCCGGCATCCTTAGAGCTGGCTAGGTAGACCAGGGTAGTATGGAACTCACAGAGATCCAGCTACCTCAGTAGAGTGTCCGCCACCCGCAGGGCTGGGATCAAAGGCCTGTGCCACAACACCCATCCTTGTCAAAGGCATTATTCTCAAATACTTCTGTCCTGTGGCAGGCCTCTGGGTGGTCTCTCTTGAAGGCTCCAGTCATCTGTCTCACCATGGGCTGCTGCGGAGTGTCAGGATCTTATGCACTGTGCGAGCTTCATGCGCTACAGCCCCAGCCCTAAGGTCTTAATTTTATTTGTCTGCTTTTGCTTTTTGAGATGAGGTCTCACTATGTAATCCTGGCTGTCCTAGAACTCACTTTGTAGACCAGGCTGGCCTCCAACTCACAGAGATCCATCTGCTTCTGTACTCCTGAGTGCTGAGATTAAAAGCCTTCACTAACACAAAGTTTTAATTTTGATGAAGTTCTTTTGGCTATACTTTTCATGTCATATCTGAGGTGTCCTAAGCAAACCTCATGCCTAATTTCTTCTGAAATTTCCTTCTAAGAGCTCTCGCTCTCTCTCTCTCTCTCTCTCTCTCTCTCTCTCTCTCTCTCTCTCTCTCTCTCTCTCCTCTCTCTCTCTCTATGTGTGTCAAGACTGGGTTTCTCTGTGTAATAGCCATGTTTGTCCTGGAGCTTGCTCTGTAGACCAGGCTGGCCTCGAACTCACAGAAATTTGCCTGCCTCTGCCTCCCTCCGGAGTGCTGGGATTGAAGTGTGTGCCACCACACCTGGCCACTTTGGATTAATTTTTTTAGTAAAGTGTAGATTAAAGGTCCAACTTCATTCTTATGCATTTAAATATCCATGTACTTTGTATCCCTAGACTTTATATTCCATGTGCATATATTTATTTTGTCACACATTTATGTTTGCAATAACTGCACCCTATATTTTCATTAAAAACTTTCATGTAGAGATAAAAAAATATTTTGTGCATTAAATTGTTAGTAAACTTACGATGTGGGCTGTCGAAAGGGAGAGATTTTTAACTCAATAAGACTGTTTCTGTAGACTATATAGGGTGAGTATAAATTGCACCACCTTATCTTAGCTGCTTAGAAAGGTATCAGTCAGCTTTGTGGTAAAAGAGGACACTAGAAGCCGTATTTTAAAACGGAGCAGTGAAAGAGATTGTTAGATAAAACATTAAAAAAAAAATAGTGTGTGCTTGAGTAAGATCCTGGCTTGTGCCATTATAGACTTTAATTAACTGAATCTAAGCCAGGCGTGGTGGTACACGCCCTTAATCCTAGCACTGGGAAGCAGGCGGTTCTCTGAGTTCAAGGCCAGCTTGGTCTACAGAGCGAGTTCCAGGACAGCAAGGGCTATACAGAAGAAATCCTGTCTCGAAAAACCAAAAAATAAAAATAAATATGTAAATAAATAAAATTGTAGTTCCAGCCGGGTGGCAGACGGGCACACCTTGAATCCCAGCACTCCGGAGGCAGAGCAGGTGTTTCTCGGGGCAGCCAGGGCTACACAGAGAAACCTTGTCTCGAAAAACAAAAACAAAGGAAACCCAACAACAACAACAAAAACAAAAAACGAAACTGAATCTAAAAGTACAGTCTGATAATCACGTGGAATAAGGGTTTTCTTGGCGGCTTACTGTAAGTCATTTTCGTTTTCTCCCCAGAGTTAACCCTTGGGACCTCGATGACTCTTAAAGAAAGCTGCGGCCACTCTCGGGCAGGCACCACGGACATCCCTCCCATCTGCATCCCTGCATCCTTGGCTGCGGTCCTCCTGGCTCCCCGGGGGCCGCAGGGCTGCCTTGCCGTCCTCGCTGCAGAAAACATTTGGAATGACTCCTGCTGACTCAAGGCAACGCTTTGCGGGGAGATCTAATTCTGCTTTTCCCATCCCAGAGATGCTCACCCCTACCGGGAGGGTAAACTGGGGCGGACGAGAGGAGCTCCTGGCTGATCTCGGCATCACCCGAGGAACCAAGCCCCGGCTCAGCTGGGGACAGGGGAAGGACCCGGAAATGTTTACAGGCTCAGCCTCTGAGGTTAGGCCTAGTCAGCGGGTTAACGACCCAGAGGGACAAATACCCTATCCTGTCATTTACGCAAATGCTGACTTCTGATTGGTGCGTTCCAAGAAGGCAGAGGCCACCTCGGTCAGTATGTGCTGGTGACTAAATATTCCGGCTTAGCTGATGATAGTTGAAAAAAAAAAAAAAAAAAAAAAGCAGAAAGGAACCTCCAAAGATTTTTATGCCTAAAGGCTCTTTCAGGCAAGGAAAATTACATAATATGTATGCTTTCAATGAATATCTGTAAAGCTAATTTTTCTACATGCTTACACGTAGCCCAAGTAGTAGCGAGGGCTCATGATACATAGGAAGAAGCCGAGGACTTGGATTCAGAACAAGTGCTGAGCCTTTGTCTTTTGAAGTAGCCGGCCTTAGGTGTAGGGTAAGTATATTGTGAAGTGGTATTTGTTAACTTTAAAACAGATTTGTCTGGTGTATTTGCCCTGGGGCTGCTGCTCTTGCAGAGGGTTGGATTCCCAGCACCCCACATGGCAGCTCACAACCCCGAGCAATGCAATCAAATGGTGCAGAGACAGAGGTGCGAGCACAACACCTAAAATAAAAATTAGTAAATGTTTCTTAAAAGTCACCCCTTTGTGGCCGTGTATTCCTTTAACAGTTTATTTTTTTTATATTTATCTATTTATTTATTTTGTTTGTTTGTTTTCCGAGACAGGGTTTCTCTGTGTAGCCCTGGCTGTCCTGGAACTCATTCTGTAGCCCAGGCTGGCCTCGAACCCACAGAGATCCGCCTGGCTCTGCCTCCCGAGAGCTGGGATCAAAGGCACGCGCCACCACCACCCGGCTCTTTAACAGCTTATTTGTATTTTTAATCTTTATAGTAAAATGACAATTTCCTTTGCTTTATTTGTAACTGGCGATCATTTTAAGTGTCTATGTTATTACCTGGTTATAGAATTAATTTTGGTGTCAGTGCAACCTCATGAAAATTTGTTATTTTCTATAAGCCATTATGATCTAGATACTAACTACCAACTGAATGGTGGCGGCTGCTTTCTGTTTGGATGGGGATGCTTACTATCCAGTCTATTCTCTGACTTGGGGAAGAAGATAAAGATGTATTAATTCTTAAGTAATTTGTCTGTTTCTCTATAAAGAACATTCAGGGGCCATTGAGATGTCTTGATGGATAAAGGTACTTGCCACACAAGCTCGATGACCTGACTCTGATCTTCCTACCCCACATAAAGGTAGAAGGAGAAAATGGACTCCACAAAAATATTGTCCTTCAACTTCCACGCATGGGTCATGGCACATGCCCTCTGCCTCTGCTAATATTAATAAAGAATATTAGAGTCAAACATAGGATAGGCAGGATGACTGCCAAGAGGTCAAGGTCAGTCTGGACTACATTGGGAGACTGTCTTAGGGTTTCTATTGCTGTGGAGAGACCACCACCACGGCAACTCTTATAAAGGAAAACATTACATTTCAAAGGTTTAGTCCATCATCTTATTGGCGGGAAGCATGGCAGCACACAGGCAGACATGGTGCTGGAGAAGGGCCTGAGAGTTCTCACATCTTGACCCGAAGGCAACAGGAAGTAGTCTGAAACACTGGGCATGGCTTGAGCATATACGAGACCTCAAAGCCTGCCTCCACTTCCTCTAACAAGGTCATACCTACTCTAACAAAGCCACACCTCCCAACAGTGACACTCCCTATGAAATTACAAGAGTGGCACAATTACATTCAAACCACCACAGAGATCTTCACTCAAAAATATTTTTTTTTTGTAAAAGAATATTCAAAGCTCTACTTTACTACTGAGGATCAAAAAAGAATATTCAAGCTCTACAAAACATAACCTACCTAATCACCAGCAGCAGGTGTTGGTCTGATACCACATTTAATATAATTTATAGGAACACAAAGACAAGCCAGGCAGTGGTGGTGCATGCCTTTAATCCCAGCACTGGGGGGGGGGGGGCAGAGGAAGGTGGATCTCTGAGTTCAAGGCCAGCCTGGTCTACAGAGCAAGTTCCAAGACAGCCAGAGCTACACAGAAACCCTGTCTCGAAAAACAAAACAACACACAAAACAAAGTCCCTTACGCAATCTTAACTTTGTTTGTTTGCTTGTTTTTGTTGTTTGTTGATTTATACAGGGTCTCACTGTATAGCTCTGCCTGCTAAGTTCTGGGACTAAAGGTGTGTGCCACTTTGTCCTGCTTTTTGTTTTATGAAGGGTTCTCCTGATTCCCCCTACCTCAGTCCCTCTAGTGCTGGAAATACAGGTCAACAGCCCCAGCAATTTTACCCCTTTGGTAACAACTTGTTTGTTAGAGCCACGGAGAGAGAGAACTGGAATGTGCCTATGAAAGGCGAAGACAGTAGAGAGGACCAGCCTGTCTGAGTCGGCCTGTGTCTGGAGGGACAGGTGGCCCAAGCTGCTGCAGTAGGAAGGTAGGGGAGGAAGCAGAAGGGTGAGGGGCATGTCACTGAGATGTCGGGGCCAATGCTGACATCTCATTAGGACCGACATGAGTCAGGAATGAAGATACCAAAAAGATGCTTTTCTAGACCAGAGACAAAGAACGTAGATGAGTCAGACCGCCCCGGGGGGAAAAGCACGGATGTCATCTCTGAGTCAGATTCTGTACACCAGTAAATGCATTCTGAAAACTCCAATGGCTTGATGACCAAGAGTTTTCCATGATCCTCACTGTCTTTAAAAAAAAAAAAAAATCTGCCGGGCAGTGGTGGCGCACGCCTTTAATCCCAGCACTCGGGAGGCAGAGGCAGGCGGATCTCTGTGAGTTCAAGGCCAGTCTGGCCTCCAAAGCGAGTTCCAGGAAAGGCGCAAAGCTACACAGAGAAACCCTGTCTCGAAAAACCAAAAAAAAAAATAAAAAAAAAAAAATTAAAAAAAAAAAAAAATCTGATGTTTACTGACTAGTTGGTCTGTGTAATCACCATTCTAAGCATTTTACTTGTATATATATATATATGAATCTTTGCAGTCACCCTGTGAAACGAGTTATTTATCTGTAGTTTGAGGACAACTGAGAATGATACAACAGAGGTTAGCCAGCTTGTCACAGTTCCTCATGCAGCCCAGGACGCTTGCCTCCGGAGTTTGCACGGCATATGCTGTGGGTCCCTACAATTTTAATTCATGTTTATAGTTTATTATTTTACTGAGCTCGGTCTAGGCTTGAAAGGGATGATTGGAGACTTGCATATCTTGTCCAGATATTAGCTATTTTAACTTTTGTTATGAGGAACACAATTAGAGAAAATTTTAAGGAAGTGTAATTGAAGGGAAGCAATTCTTTTTTTTTTGTTTTTTTGTTTTTTGTTTTTAGAGATAGGATTTCTCCACGTAGTTTTGGTGCCTGTCCTGGATCCCGCTCTGTAGACCAGGCTGGCCTGGAACTCACAGAGATCCACCTGGCTCTGCCTCCCGAGTGCTGGGATCAAAGGTGTGCGCCACCACCGCCCGGCCCTTGCAGCTACATCAAGAGATGGCCTCCTTCCTAAGGACTGGGATGAAGATTGCCATGTTTAGTGTTGTCCCACACCTAAATGACAGTTGATTTGATTAGTCTAGTGTGACAGCTTCCCGTTGTGGCCAGTAGGAGCCTTTCCCTAGGGACTGAAAAAGAAACACCTCTTTTTGTTTATTATTTAATTTCTAATAAATTAATTAGTGACAGGGCCTCACTGTGTAGCTCTGGGTGGCCCAAACTCACAATGTAGACCAGGCTGGCCTTGAACTCCCAAAGACCTGCTTGTTCCTGCCCCTCAAGCACCACCATGCCCAGTTAGTTTGTAAATTTGAGAGCTGTTAGGGTATCCTGTGGTTAGAGAGGCAGACGAACCCCATGGAGATGGCTCATTGGTTAGATAGAGACTCTTGCCACCAGCCTGAGGTGGGTCCTATGGTGAATAGAGAGAATTGATTCCCACATGTTGCCTTCTGACCTCCACATTCATGTATGGCATAGTATGGCACCACACACACACACACACACACACACACACACACACACACACACACACACACACACACACCACAATAAATTAAAAAAATTGTAATTTAAAAGGAAAGAGCCTGATTGTCAGTAGGTGGAGAGAAGCCCATGTATAAAGAGAGAGGAGACGAAAGAGGGCATGTCCATTCAGTATTCACGGGCTCCTTGTGTCCAGTTTCATTTGTGTCTGGCTTCTATGAGACACTTTTCTGCTTACATATTTTTAAATACTTTTCAAACCACTCCCCTGTGTTTAAAGTTTATTTGGTGTTAAAGCTGGCATGACACTTGGGTAGTTGGTTGCATGGTTCACACACAGATTTCTCTCTTTACGTTATATAACCGTGTACAATACACATAGACACTCACATACTTCTTGAGAGCAGTCCTGCACACAGCATGCAATAATGTATGTATACTCTTGAGCCCAGGATGTGACTGACTGGGGAAAAACTGGAGCAGGCATGCTTGGAGAAGTGATGTAGCACTAATAGACGCATCGGGTTTGAAGGGCAGCTAGAGCCGGTGCAGAGTTGGTGTCTCAGGAGCGGGGACTCCTGACACTAGCCAGTGTAGCACCACACAAGCGCCACTCAGTAGCCATGTACAGCTGTAAGGGTTTCTAAGTGGGGGAAACTGATGTCCATCCCCCGACGTTATCAAACAACTGCACTAATCACAGATCAGACCAAAAAAGGACATATCTGACCTCCAACAGAATTTGTACTGCAGCCTAGCCAGGGGCATCATGTGACATTAGAAGACTTTAAATGGCAGCCGTTTCTGGGTCCTCCCGAAGTCTGTCTGCAGCCTTCTTCAAGCCTCTCCATCAGGAGTCAGGCATCTTCACAACACAAGGGTCTGTTTTTTTTGTTTTTTTTCCAAGAAGCACAGAGCACTAAGGAAGACTGCTATTAATCATAGTGGAGACTCGACGTACCTA